CCAGTATTCTAGCATTCGATCCATTGCCGAAAGTGGCAATCAGCAAAAACAACAGCAGGACAAAAGGCCGCCACACGTTTATATTGCTGCCTGCCACGCCTCCTTTTGCGTCCATAGGTGGGCAGAGTATGGGTGGGTGTGTATGTACATGTGTGTGTGTGTGTGTGTGTGTGTATGTGTATGTATTTGTGTGAGAAGGCCATGTCGACACCTATTACCATTCATTGACTTTTGCCATGTCCCTGGGGTGTCATCTATGCAGGTTGCTTTGGTTTATCCTTCCATGTTGCTGTTGCTGCCGTGGATGTTGCTGTTGCTGCTGTGCTTGTTGCTATTGCTGCTGGGTATGTTGCTGTTGCCCCACGCGTTTGATTGCATTTGCAGGCGAAAACCCAACGACCGTTTGCTAATGTCCTTCGATAAAGCCGGCAAAATCAACACCAGCCACCAAAGGACACGGACTCACTCCTCTGAAATTTCGGGATACGTGAATATGGGGATGTGGGGATATGGGCCATACAGACTGGCCTCCGTTTTCATTTGGTGTTTGATTGGATTTTCAATTATTCATTATTATTGGTTGCAATTTACCTGGCGGCCAGGCCAGGCCAGAGCGGATCCACATATCGCACCCATCCTATTCAGCTGCATTGATTGCGTTCCATCAGCAACTGGATGTCGCTTCAGTTTTCCAACTCATCAAACTCCAATTGCATCATTAAACGGAATTTTTGATTTACTCTGCCCGGATTTTTGCCCCTTTTCATTTGCATTTGTGTGTTTTACGGATTTGATTGAGTTTTACCCTTTTGAGTAGGGGTTTCGATTGATGATTTCCAGGCGTGGCCTGCCTTTTCTTTGAGTCTTTGGCAGGGATTTCGTTGCATTCAAGGTCGCCTTGGAGTTCATTGATCAATTCAACGCAAAGTCAAGCAAACCTAAGCTTCAACAATGCCAGCAAGTTCCAAAGCCCCGCCCCAAAAGCGATTAACTGGCTGATTAAGCAACACTCTACTTATAAGGCATATGCATTTTTGTAATATTTTTAAAGGGTGTGTAAATTAATCTAAATATTAGCTTAATAATCTATTTTACAAGTTGAGACAGCAGTGTGCTTATACAGAAAAGCTTGAAAAAAAAACATTTAGAAAATATACAAATTTGTTTTTTCACTTCTGTGGCAAAAAGAATTTTGAAATCATTTATTAAGACGTTTAAAATTATGCAACAATATATTTATAATCCGGAAGTTTAAAGCATTATACACGAAAGACCACGACGTTCCTTTTTTCACTGCATACTCTTGGACAATTTTATAATTAATTTTAAAACCTTAGTCTTTTTTGTACCATTTATTATTTTTTTTACCCAAACCTTCTTTTCTTTTCAAGAGTATTTTCTAGTCAATCTCCTTAAATTCCCCAATATTTGCCATTTTATATATACTCTATATATATATTTTTATTATTTGTTTTGGCAAATCGGATTCCCGTTTAAGGTGGACAATTATCTGCCCTGCTCTACGAGACGGCGATACCCAGAATTCTCGTTAGAGGGTGAGGGAATGGAGAACACAAAGCTGAGACTCCAGATCGAGTCATAAAGATTAAAACTACAAAACAAAACCATACCAAGCCAAAGCCAAAGCCCCGAAAAAACAAGCCAAGTGGCCACCGACAAAGTGTTTCCGACTTTTTCGTCGTAGATTTTTGCTGCCAGATTTTTATTGGCAGAAAGAGATAGCTGGCTAACAAGATGGAAAGAGGTGGAAAGAGAGACCGATTTGATTTTTACGAGCATTTCATTCCATTTCGTTTTGCATCGCATCGGTTATTTGGGATACTACTACGTATATGAGAGCGGCTACTTGTCTTGGAAACCGACAAAAACTCTTGTCTGATTTCGCCGGCGACAATAAATTAAGTCAAGTGTAGCATTTAATTGATTTTAATCATAGATTAAATATCGTAAAACAACAAAGACCGTGGCGTCGGGCAATGGCATTATATAGGCCAAAGAACAACACCCAAAAGGCCGCCGTTGCGCTGACCAATAAAGTCAACAATCAAATCAAACAATCCCAATCCCAATCACAATACCCAGCCCCCTTCGAACAACATTTTGGGGGCGGTGGGCAGGGCAAACAAACCAATTTGTAGCACAATAAGTTGTCGTTACTTGGTTGTTGTAATCGCTGTTTACCAATATGTAATCCTTAGAAACAACAAGAGACCGACCGACGACTCCTTGCTGTCCTGTGCGTATCCTTGTGCTCTGTTTCGGTGTCGGGCTTTCGGTTTTCAGTTTTGGTCCTGGGTTGATTTTGGATTTCGGGATTTTAGATTTCAGATTTTAGGGTGCTGGGTCTTTGGTCTGCTTGCTTTGAATTTCAATTACCCTTGACTCGATTTTGGGGGAGGGCCGTCGGGTTTTCACATCGGACACCAGGCCATTGGCACTAGCTTTAAGGACAGTGCGTTTCGCAGATTTATGAGTAGGGAATACTGCATGCACTAAACTCTTTTTCTTCCCATTTGTTTTTTTTTTTCTCTATAATGGATTAATTTATAAGTAAAAACACTTGTAGTACTAAGATAATAATAAAGTTAAATTTTCATTGCCATTAAAATTGGCACAACAATTTTAAAAAATAAATCAACAAAAAATATGGTTAACATTTTGGAAACTGAATCTTTTTCCGAAAATGCTAAAAAAAAAAAATTTTGCAATTGTGCATATTTTCAAAAGCATGTTTTAATGTGATAATAAAGCTTTCAGCTCTATAGTGAAAAGTTAAAGATTTTTGTACTTCTGTATATTTTAACCATTTATTAACCAGATTCGTGGGCTTGTTAGGCAAAACGTATTAATAACCTAAACTTTATATGCATTCCAACTGTTCTGAGGTACAGTCCTCTAATGAAACGCACTGTATGCATATGCAGATATAAATTTAAGCACAAGGGGGCTAGGATTTCCCATGGGTTTGGGAACAGTGGGGTCGAAAGGTGAAAGCCAGGACAGTGGAAGGAAATATTCGCGTTGCTAACGAATCAAATAAATTTGTTGGTCAATTAAAAAACTGCAAAACGCGCACAATTTCCACATGTGTGGCAGCAACAACCACAGCTCACCAGTTCCTTTTCACCCCTCTCCATTTTCCTACCCCTTTCCACTGCTTCTGGTTTTTCCTAGGCCCCCTTTTTCCCACCGCCCCTGAATGATGCTGCTGATTTTTGCTCTAATGGCTGCCAGCGCCAAATGAAAAGCTTCGCGTGAAAAAAAATGCATTGCAAACCAATTTTTTCCTCTCTTGCTTTTTCTTACCAATTTTTTTTTGCCCCATGATTTCCTGCATGGTTCCTGACTAGCTTTTGACCAAAAATTCACCTCCCTTTCCAATTTTTTTTGCACACAATTTTTTATGATATTCTTTTTTGGCAATTTTTTCAGTTCGCGTTTTTTGTTTTGTTTTTTTTTTATTATTATTTTTCTTTTTTTTTTTTGTATGTTAAACTTTGGCCGTAAACTAACTTTGTCGGGTGGGGCTTGATAGTGTCTAGGGAGAATTGATGTTGCACAGGGGGGGTATTTGGGGGGTTAAGGGTAGGGGGTTAAGGGGTAAAGGGGTAAAGGGTAGCACCAGTTCGAGCTGAGCTAGCCACGTTAGTTATTAGTCGGTGGCTCCATGGGTTGAGTGAACATGAGAGTGGCGATAAATGTCTAGTTCAGCACTCGAAAAAATGCACCGAAACGGTGGAAGCGGAAAACATTGATAAACCAGGGGGAGAAAATGTGCAGAGGGGCGTGGATCTAAAAAAGTGGAATCGGGAAAACTACAAGATAATCGTAAGCGTAACTCCCCTCAAAGGAAGCCGCCAATTATGTGGAAAATATTTCATACTTCAAGCTGTATATAAATCATTAAAATAAATGGACAAACAAATTTCGAAAAGCTTATAAAGATATACTATTCTGATAGATACTTAACTTATCCAATAAATAGTTGTTATAAATAATGGAAAAAGATTTAAAATTAGGTATCACTATTGAAATGATTAACCAGATTGTATACTTCCTGTATTTTTTCTAAGGTTATATGGTTGTTGAACAGCGGGAAAATTGACATCGGCTGGCTGACCAGCGAAAACGAAAACTAAATAAAAATGCAGTGCAATTTACGGTTCGCCGAAGGGTGGGGCGTCGGTAGTGTTTGGTGCTTTGTGGGTGGTGCCGTACACCTAGATGAAAATCAAGGGGGTGGTGGTGCGAAACGGGGGGCAAAAGTGGGTGGTGCTGGCAAACGACTGCCAATTTCATGCTATGCTCTCCCTCTTTTGTTCACATCGCTCTCATCTCTCGCAGCAATCTTCTTCTGCTGCGGCTCCTATTTCTTTTTTTTCCCCAATGAGTTGTTGTTTCAATACCCTATATTTTAAGTACTTCTGGGGATATTCTATATTCAAATGCAATACACAACGTTTTCTTGGAAAATCAAAAGGTTTCAGCAAAACAAGTTTGAAAAAAAGAAAAAATTTAAATATCTTATATATCAATTAAACCCTAAGCGATCAAGTAAAGATAACTAACAGGCTATAATTTTAAAATTAAAGAATAAATAAATTCACAAATATTTCCAAAAAGATGGTCCAACTTGAAGGGTATCTCCTATTCGATTTCATACCTCCTATAGCTGATGTGTTTCCTGCATTTCCGCCACTCTTTACTGCGCACATTCTGATGTACTATATACTATATACTATATGCGCTCGTTTGGCGTTTGATTAAATTTACAACAATGGCTGCAAGCTGGCCATAAAAGAAAAAACCGAACCGAGAGCTCTCTTTCTATAGGGAACCGCCTTCGGGTCTCTACTGCGCCTGTCCATCGAATCAATCGATAACCAATAACCAATAACCAATAACCTATGACCCACGACCAATACCCAATACCGATGCCTAATATATATAAATATAAATTGTTGTAGGCGTGGCACCGACCGTGTTTCGCAGCACAAATGCCGAACAGCGAGAGACCCCGAGCCCGTCCAAAGCACCGGAATAGGAGCAGGATTCGAACTCGGGCCCCCACGCCGGAGGATCTCCTGGAGAGTCACCTACTCCACAACCTTCTGGGCAGTCACCACCGTCCAGACATCGAGTCTCAACTGGAAGATCTTGGGGGCGAGAGTAACTACGAGTTCGACACTCAGGACGAGGATGGGGATGATGGAAAAGTGGAGCTTATGCAGGGGTTAAGCTTAAAGGTAGATCGAATTAAGTACTGACTTACTCTGTTCTACATTCTATTTAGTAACACGATTAGGGGAATTTTACAACTATTTTACTTTTTTTGAACTAAACTTAATTGATTTTATATTTCTTTATTTTAAGATGGAGCAGTCAAAAAACGCGATAGAGGATAATGAAGAAGAGTTTAGTGACAAGTCAGATTCCGAGATTCTGGACGAGAATGTTGAGGAGTTTTTGAATCCTCCGGCATTGGAAGAGATTCCGTCCATGTCGCCGCAAATGTATCCTTATCCCATGAACCACCGACCTGGTTTTTTGGGCAAGTGCACACCGCCAAAGGTCAGAGGTCAGGGATTCGATCCGCCCTTTCTATATCCCGAATTCATTGCCAAAAACCAGGAAAGTCGTGTGAAGTGTGAGTTATCTATGAGGGTATTCCTAATAAATATTGATCTGACAAAATTCGGAAATGTTAACAAAAATCCATTTCGGAAGAAATTGTACAGTTTTAAAATTTTTTTTTCACAAAACACATTTAAATACCTAACGCCTACTATCAATTTGACAGACATTTTCACTTTGGTGGATAGTTTGGTGCTGCAAATGGAGCATTTCCGTAAATTAAGCGAGCACTCGGACGGCGAAGGAGAAACAAAAACGCATTACACAGGAACTGTGCCGAAATCCAGGTCCAAAAATCGGTTTTTAATAAATAAGTTTGGCCATGACAATCCTTGTTTCATGGAGCCAAAAAAACTTTACCAATCTAGTGAGTGAGCAGCAAAACGATTAAAATCGAAGTTTTATATTTCCATTAAAATCGATTGCTCTTCACCTGCAGAGAATCAACGTTACGCCAAAAGTAGTGAGCAATCATATGATCGATCTCTGGAGATGAATCCGGAGTTAGAACTCGATTTGGACTGCGAGTTCGGAATGGAGTACATCGAGAAGTTTCGAGCCAATAAGGTTCGTGATTTTTCCTGTGGAGAACCAGGAATTGCAACGGATTGGGAAGAAATCACTGATAATACTTTTAAAAAGGAAGTGACCAAAAAGAATGGTAATTGCGTCTAATTTAAATTAATATACTAATGTTATTAACTCTTTAAAAATTAAGAGCCCCGTTTTAGTTGTGGACACCGTGAATTTTTCGACGGATTCTCGAAATGTGAGGACTTTAGGGTGCGCAAAACCTCCTCTAAGCGCTTTGAAAGGGAGCCCAAATGGCTGATAGATGAGGGCAGAACCACTCGACCTTGCACTCCCATCACACGACCTTGTACTCCCGAGCCGGTCAATTATAAGTTCCAGAACTCAGCAAACACAAATTGGGACTTTTTAATTTATAAGGACTCACACACATCCGGTAAGTATTGTCTTAAGGAAATCTTAAATTTACAATTTATGTTTAGGGAAAACCAAATTTAAATATTACCAATGCCATTATATTCCCAGAGTTTTGTTCAATTTAAAAAATTTTGATTAACTTGATTTAATTTAAGAAGGTTAACTTTTCACTTTTTAGTGCAATTTGCTTGTCACACTAGAAGGCATAAATGTTTTTCTAAGTCAATTCACTCTTACAATCACATTTTAAACGAATGATTATCAACTATTAAAATAACAATATTTTGCGCAGGAAAAGCTAAAGCCCGTGGCAAAGCTAAGGAAACTGCAGACGAAAAGGCACCTTTGACGGTTAATAACGCCAATCGAGTTTATCGGATCCCCCGAAAGAAGGAAATAACATTGAATGAAATCAGACGCATCTGTAAGTCAAATCAATACTTCATTTTCCTTAGCCAAAATGAGCTGTTTTGAAAAATCGTAGGATATTGGCAAAATATCAACAGAAGGTCAACCCATTTGTAAGACAAACAAAAAGTAAAAGTAGCATTGGTAGAATTACAAAAAGATCTTTATCAAAGTACGATATGTCAATGAATTAGTTGACGATACCGAACATTATGGTAATGAAACCTATGATTTCCTAATGATGTCTACTTAATATTATATTTTAATATTATAATCTACTTACAATAACAATTTTCATTTAATTTTGTATTTTTTCTTTCTTTGCAGAACCTCTTTATATGACATTTTGAGGGATTTATATACATATATTTATATATTAAATTAAAACATTAGTATGTTTTACAAACTGTTATGTTATTTCCAATAAACAAAACAAGAAGTGGTGGGTATTCAATTTATAAGAGCGTTTTTTTCTTTAGATAGAATTGAAACCATGAACATATTTAAGTTTAAAAAATATCCGCCCGTGTAGAGGGTCCAGAATTTATTTTATTTATTTTTATTTTAATATCAAGCTATCACAAGAAAAGCAATCAAAGCAAAAAAAGGAAAAATTCAAAATAAGCAAAGCGAAGCAGCAAATCAAAAAACAATTACGCGGCAAATGACATTATCAAATGTCAAATGTCATGTTTGGTGGGCAACCCCCCTTCTCTATTTTTTTTTGTTTTTTTTTGTTATTCCTTGAACTCCCTTTCTTTCGTTTTTGTATCTTGTATCTGAAGCATCTCTCGCGTATCTCAAACTGAAATACTTGTACTGAAATGCAAAGCAGCTAAAAAGAGAGCGCATCAAATTTGTTCGAGGCAATTTTTCAATTCATTGAAGTGGAATTCATAGGAAGCCCCGGACTTGGGAAACTCCAGAGTCCGGACTTTGGATACTAAGCGCCACTTTACTTGCAGCCATCCCCCCCTTGGTTGACCTCCGCCCCTGTAAATGAAAACCCCCTTGGGGAGGGGGTGGAGTATCTGAAATCAAAATCAAGATTTTTGATTCTTTTATACACGCGTATTACTCGTACCCACCCACCACCCCTCCGATAGTAACGGAACTGGGGTCGGAGTTCACATTGTTTGCTGGGGTTTCTTTTATTCTCTTAAAATTGGCTTTAAGCCCGTTGTTTGTAAATAAATCTGTGACGCTTTGGTATTGCCTTTTTACCATTATTGGTTGGCAAGCACTGAGCAAAAAGAACTTGTAGAGTTCCTTAAATAATAACCAAAGTTTAAGCCACCTTTAAATTTTACCAAAATGTTATTTCAATAGGAATTTCTTCATCATTCATTTCATATTGTCGATGTATGGTTTGAAAACTAGTTGCAAGCAAAATATTTTATACAGAAAAGGATTAAGAATGTATTGTCCCCTATTTAAAAATGTAAAACAGAATGATTATAAATACATTCAAAGGGAAATTAAGGATTTTTTAACAATTTAGTGGAACATTTAAAACTAAAAATTTGCAGGTAAATATATATATATTCTATTGGAATCCAAAAATGTTTTTCTTTAAGTGCAGCCCACTTATTGCGGTTACTGAAAGATATCATTACCTATAACAACCGATGTTCCACCTGGATCTGCGATTCCTTATGCATTCGCCGACTTATTCTGGCCGATATTGATGACCTCGCATTTATCTCGGGGAGGTTGAAAAATCGCCCTGACAATGACCCTGGGCCATGGCTTCTAATGAAAGTCAACACGCAGGACTCTGAACTAATGACCTTTGGGTTGGGGAGGGGGTGGTGACAGTGGGTGGCATCGCCTTTCGTCAATCGAAATAAAAACTCAGCAGAGACCTTTGGTCACTTTTGAATACGTCGATTACGAGAGACGTTTATTGATAGTGAACTAAGCCCATACGAAAATACGAATAACGAAAAAAGAAAACTATTAGTAGTGAAACCTCGCCTTTCTCCAAAGACAACGCACATATGCCACAACCCACGGAGCAAATACAGGGGGAAAAATGAAAAATGATCTCATGGCAGAAATGGCATGACTGCCTGGTCACCGGAGGGTTAACTCTGTTGGCCACTGGTGGGTTAAGACAGAGAGCGCTCTACCTAGAGATGCATATCGTTAGTCTTAATTAAATTTAATTTTCAATTGTAAAGTTGAAAATAATATCAGCAAACTCCGAATATAAGTAACTCTTTGTAATAAATCGATAAGTAAATAAAACTTGTTCGATATTGATTTATCTACTAATTGTTTATCGGATTAAAATATTTACATTTTGGAGAAATGAATATTGTTTAAAATTAATATCTTAAAATATTATACATATTTTTATATAATTTTGAATACAACGGTTACATATTATCACATTTTACCATCTCTAATGTAGGTGTGTCGGCACTCGTCCAATTGCCATAATTTATCTGTCACATGTCGAATGTGTGTCAACGTCAACGCAGAGTAGAAAAAGTAGTAGCATCCGCTACCGAACCACCCATTACCCATTGTCGATTACCCATCACCCACCGAACCACCACCCACCTCCTGCAGTACCACACATCATCATCAGTATGCCACCACCCACTGGGCGGTTTTCAGATCTCCTTGCCGGTCAGCTGTCATTAATATTTATTATGTCACATGCATGCTCGGGCCCAAAACATCGACTTCGACTCCGGATGCGGATCCGGTTTCCAGGTTTCCAACTTCGTTCCGGATTCCCATCCAAAATACGTGCCGGAGCAACTGGCCAAGAAGTTTTGGGTCAAAGGTTTTTAATATTTTAATAAGCCACATGAATATGGCAGGCAATCGGCGACAGGAGAGGCCGATCCTGGGTATAAACCCCATTTTGACTAGATTTCCACTTTCGTAACTACATTAAATACATTGTATATACAAACGTTATACAATATAAAAATAAATAATGCACTGGATTGCAAAGAAACATTTTTAATTCAGTTGGTTTTAATTAAACTTAATTTGTTTATTTGAAAGTGGAAAATCAAGAAGGTAATGTCCGCAAATATCATAACTTTTTACCGAGTTCTTCGAATAATCCCTGAAATATTTTTTTAAAAATAGCATAAAATCGTAACAATTTCTTTTGATCTCCTGGCACCTGATCCGTTAACCGCATCCCGCCCAAAATGCCACAATTTCGTCCAGCAGCACAATGGGCTCATTAGCCGTTTAATGGAATATGTAATGTGCATGGGTCGAGTTGATAAAGTGACGAGTGGCCAGTTGGGATGGGTTTTTGGGTGATTGCTGGGCCGGTTCGATGGTGGTTGATGTCGGCCATCATCGGTTGTCTCTGGCCCGAAAAACTAACAAACTAATCCAATATTTTTATTACGAAATGCCATTAAGGGTCATTGAATATTGTGGCATAATAAATAAATGGCCTGGCTATGCCGACACCCACTATATGAACGATGCGATATGTACATATATATATATATGGTACATGTGGGCCTGAGTATAATCCCAGCTATCAACGGCATCATTATTCAAAGACGGATTTAGCGGGGCGATACATATGGGAATGGATTTGCGGGGGAAAAACTCTGACACACATACATCAAAGCATCTTAAGTCCGGGGAAAAGCAGACGTTTTATTCCTACCGACTTGACTACTCAAAAAGCGATTTTTCTGCCTGTCTTGAATGTGCCACCGAAGCCATTTTCATTAATAGGAAAATTCTGGGTAAAAGTGAATGTGTGTGTGTGTGCGTGCGTGTATGTGTGTGTGTGTGTGTGTGCTACACACAAATCCTTTAGCCACTTGCCAATTGAAAATAAGCCAAGTGCTGTGTGCAATATCTCTCGTTCTTATTTTTCTTTTCAAGGCGACTACCCATTAATAAGCCAGTTCACACCCAAACACCTGGCGCCCTTGGCTCACCTTTGGCACCACCCACATCCCACCACCCACCTACCACCATTGACCACCCACTCCCCCTTTTCCTGGTTAGCCACTCAAGGACCAACACGGCCAACGTGCGCTTAATTAGTCCGTTTTGTTTAAAACGATTCTGATGACCATGGAGCTGATGATGATTCTCATGTTCCCCATATACGTACCCACATAACGTGTGTGCATATTCAGATAAATGCATATACACATGCTTATATATGTTTGGGCGTTCATTTCCATACTCTTTGTGGGGGTATTATGATTTTATGGCCTTTTGTAACGATAGATATCCTCACATATGAAAGGTGAATCTGCTTACTCGTGTTCTAAATAAATATTCATTTGTTTTTAAGAAAATATATTAATGCTTCAAATTAACATTTTTTTTTAAATTAAAACATCAACATTTTGTATATGCTCATAGTTTTATGCACTTTTTTTTCCAATTTAAATCATTTTTGCAGTCGAAACTATGCTATTTTAAGTGTTGCACTCAACACTATATTTTACAAATTATATTTACAGCATGGATTCTAATATTTTGAGGAAATTTTATGTAAGATTTCGTTAAGATTTTTAAAAAGTAATTTTTCAGCAAACCTTTACTAAGCTAAGTTTATATTAGTAAACTTGTTATAAAAATATTAAACAAATTAAGTGATACATTTTTTAAATTTTTCTTATGCTCTTTAGCAACTTTTTTAAGAGTATTTGTTCAGGCGTAGTTTTTCTTTTGATTACTGTATATATTTTTTTTATCCCATCTCACTTCCTGCAGGAGCCGCTTGTTTGCCAGCAATTCAATTTGCTGGTTTTCTATACTCGTACAGCCACTGTTTTTTTTTTATTTTTTTTTTTTATTCGCATTTTCCAGGCCGGTCATTTCTCCCACTTTTCACTTTTTTTCGCCGCGCTTTTCTTTCAGCCCATGTTTGCGTATGTTAATCGAAATGTTTGGCGGCCTGAATGGGGGGCGTTTCGTATATATGTGTATATTCATATATGGGCATATTTTTTTTCCGACTTTTTCCGACTCGTTCATCGCACATGTGTAACGCGGCTT